TTTTCTTACAATTCATTGTTTACTCTCCACCACTCCATTGGAATTTGGTAGAAATGGCCAGCCAAGGGCTTACCTCCCTGAGATGTACACTACTGCACATAAACCTTTACTGGCTGGACTGTAGTGAAGGAAGAAGAAAAACACATATCTTCTGAGAATTATTTTCTCTTTTCTCCAAATACCTAAAGAAGGTCAGATGAAATATGGCATAATGAAATATGACATGATGCATTCCAGAATACCAATAAGGCCAAAAGAGGTCTATGGATCCAAAATAACAGCAAGAACTGGAGCCTTGCCTAACAAAAGATTTCAGAAGGAAGGCATTTTCTTTGGAGATTTTTGACTGCAGACTTACTCTTGCTTAGTTCCACCCAATACCCTCAGTGGTTCATTTTTGAATCTTTTAAAATGCTACTATGTGTCATGTAATTATATCAGGCACTGGTCATACAAACACCTCATGCTGCATTCATTCTTTGGTACATAGAGATTCCCACATGTGTTTCACTCCAGATTTTTATTCCTTATTTTGGAAACTTCTCACCTTCAAAACACACTTAAGAGTTTATATTCCCCAAACCTTATCCCAAACTCCCAATGTAGGTAAGGTTTCCTCTCTCAACACCATCTGCACACACTATGTTTACCCACAGAAAAATACTTTACATTGTACTGTAATGCCAATGAACTGTACTTGTCTGCCTCCTTCAAGACTCAAAGGCAGAGGTTTGCCTTTTAATTCTGAATCCCCAGCACCTAGCACTGTGTGTGTTTATACATTATATATGGATATACATTATACATTATATATAATATATAGACATACATTATATTATATACACACATACTATGTTATATATGTATTATATACAGCACATATAATACATAACATGTATATTATATATACACATAATATATATATTATATATACACATAATATGTAATACATAATATATAATATATATTATATGTTATATATAATACATATCAATAAATGCTTTTGAATGAATAAAAAAATACATGAATGACCAAGGAGTGAATGAATGAATGACCACATAGTCCCTACGGTGAAGAAGGTGACTCTAGCTGAGGAGGCAAATAACTAATTGCCTAATTCTAATTTAACAGGTAATAGAGATAAGATCCAAGTGGTGAGACAGAACAACAGGAGCAACGATTATTCTTTTCATCTATGCCTTTTTCTCTTGATGACTGCTCTATTGTTTGTGCACTGTAGAGTGTTTAAAATTTATTGTTGAATAATCTATAAGCAAAATCTTGACTTCTTATGAAGAAAGAAATTCCATACCAATCTATTATGTGAATAAAATAAGAAAGAACATTTGATTAAGAAAATACTGCTGGCTGCCTAGAGCAAACATGTTGAAAATTTCCTGACAAAGAGAATTTCCATGCAGGCCTAAAAGAAAACAAAAAGACAAGTAAAGTCTTTTGGTTATTACCAAGTTGTTTTTGGTGAGGAGAGGACAACTGATGCTAAAAGTAGTGAATATGGAAATTTCAAAGATAGCTTCAATTAGGAAAGTTCACAAACACAAAATGAAGTATATAATCCTATAAATGAGTTATTGAGGAGCTCTGCTTTCAAGTGCTTAAATAAAATTCCCAGAGGCTATGCCTGCAGGAGGAATTTCTTGATATTTGATCTCTACATTGTTTGGTTTGACACGTGGACAATTGGAAGGTTTGTCACTAAGAGCTAAAGGGGGCCCCTACAAAGAAGATAAAGCATTCTTACTGATGCCTTTTTTCCCAGTTTCTAGTCTCAGCCTTTATTCAATCCCTTATTTCTAGCAAGGACCATAGCAACTTAAGTATTTTACCTGACTCCAGAATTTCCTTCCATTCACTGTATTTTTTACACTGTAAAAAAAAAAGAACTTTTATAAAATATGATCAAATTCTGATCTTCCAGCAGTTTGCCTCTCCAATTGGGGTACTTTGGAGACTGGGATGGGGGGCACTCCACAATTTGTGGGAAGCATAAGAAGCTTTAGGAAAACTCTGGGGCCTTTCTGTGGGCCTCAGATTCACTCAGTGGTAAGTAGTCATCTTAGTCCATTTGGGCTGCTAAAATAAAATGCTCATCAACTGGGTAGCTCACAAACAAGAGAAATGTATTGTCCACAGTTATGGAGGCTGTGAAGTCCAAGATAAAGTTGCCAGCCCATTTAGTTCCCAGTGAAGGCCTGCTTCCTTTTTCATAAATAATCTCCATCTTTTCGCTGTAACCTCACATTGCAGAAGGGGGCCAAAGAGCTCTCTGGGGCCTGTTTTATAAGGACACTAATCCCATTTATGAGAGCTCCACACTCATGACCTATTCTCATAGGTCCCACCTCCAAATGCCATCATGCTGGTGATTATGTTTCAACATAGAAATTTTGGTGGGGACACAAACATTGGGTCTATAGCAATATTTTAAAACATTTTAAAATGTTAAAACAAATATTGTTGTATTACAAAGTTAAATGTGAAAGTCACAGGGCTTTTAAAGATAAAGTGTCAGACCAAAAAATTGCAAAGCTTCTGATGGAAACTGTTGCATTTTACTCAGACCCCCATGGCACTTCGGTGAAAAGGTAGAAAAGTGTTATTTTGAAGGTAAATTGTCCAGACTAGCCTCTCACCCGCTCAGAAAACCACTTGTTCTAAAAAGTCATATGGACATTAATGCCTTCATAACTTTGTTCTTGTGTTTTTTTTTCTACCTGGAATTCTTATCCCTTCTCTTGGCTAACTCTTCCATTCATTTATGCACTCATTTATTCAGCAAACATTTGATGAATTCCATTCTGCCAGATGTTCTACTAGGCCCTCATGATGTAGGGATAAAGAGATCCTGCAGAGATGGTGAGGAGAGTTGGGGGATCATAGAAGAAAATTAATAAACATACTAATAGCCTGACATTGCTTTTATGTACTTAGTACTAGGATGGACACTTTCCACATTTCTATTTAATTCTTATATCAACTCTGAGAAGTAAGTTTTCCCAGTCCTGAAATTTGCCTTAATGACACACAATAAATACCACTTGCATTCATGGCCTACAATAAATGGCTAAAATAAAACACAATCCAGTTTGACTCTGATTTATGCTCTTAAAATTTACTGACTACATAGTTTGATGTGATCTTCTAGATCTGGCTTAAGTGTTTAATCCTATCTCTTTTTCTTCCCTGCAAATTCTTCCCTTACAGTACAATAACTTTCTCCCTAATATTCTTTATTACCCTGCATTTCATTATTGATATTTGTATATATGTTTCCTGTGCCACTATCTGAGAAAGCCCCCAGAGCAGGTGCTTCTCAGATCTCTGTGTGTATCGCGTACTCCTGGCACAGTGGATCTGCTGAACATGGCAGCATAGGATGGCCTCTGTGGTGGACCAAGCACATGAAAGACTTGCTGAGATCACACATGGCTGCACACAGGCCTTAAGATGTGTTTTGTTCAGCCTAAAAAAAGAGTTCAAAGCATTTTTTAGTTTGTCAACTTTAAGAAATAAAGAGGTTATCTTAAATTCTGCATTTCCAGCTTCTCTTTTAAAATGGAAAGATTTGCAAGCATTCATTAGTTGGTCAAGCATTTCTGCCTAACCACAGTTAGCCAGAGCTGCATATCAGCTGTCTGCTTTAGAGGGGGCCTGCACTCCACAGTTCGCCACAGTCCCTACTGCCATGCTGTGCTTCTTTGAATTTTATTTCCTTATGCACTTGCAGGGCCCTGACCCTAGTATTTCCAACTTTTCTTCTGTATCCTCTTAAGTCTCTTGATTCCTATATATTCATATAATGGTAGGTATCTATAAATAATAAAACTTTTAAAGTAAAAACAATTGAAAGGAAAATACAAAGCTGTCAAAATGATGTCAATACAATGTGCATAACAGTAAACTGTTCATTTACCCATTTTACTAAATATAAGTTAAGTGAAATTCTTAGAACAGAAAGCCTCATTACTACATAAATATTAAAATATATAGGAAAGATGCTCTCAAGAATGGAAGTATAATTTCACCTCTCAAATAAATATAGACTGCACAGGTCTATTTATAACTTGCTCATGGTCTTTTCATAGCTTTTTCAGCTCACACATAAGAGGTTATCTGGAAACAGTACTATAGTGTGGTTTGCAGTGATTACAATTACAGAAAAACTTCATTAATTCAAAAACTTCAATGCTTGGGATAGAGAATGGGGGCAAGCTTGGCTTTATATTATAGAGAGTTTATGCAAAGATTTGCTAAGCAAATATACTGAGTAAATTGTTCGTAAAAGAACCGCTTGCTTGACAAATTTTAGAGTCATGAATTCTCAACAATGTAAGTGCATTGTAAGCAAAAGCTAGGTACTGCTTAGTTGGTATGTTGATATAATAAGTAGAAATCATTTTTATCTACTCTGTGAAGCAGTACGCCTGCTAGCTTTTTACCCTAGTTCAAGCTGCAGTATTTATTTGAAAACAATAAGATATTGTTTCAATAAAATGTGTTGTTTCACTGACTTTTCATCGTCTCAGACAGCTCTTTTCCCCAAGTTAACTGAATTAGATCCGACTCTATTTAGTAAAGTGCAAAAAGGATACCATAGTTCACAGCAAATCCTAATTAGTCCCCTAAAGCTTCAATAGACACATCCATTATATTAAAAAACCACGTTTTAATAATGTGAGAGTTGGCAGCCAAACAATAAGTGTCCAAACATGATGAATAGCAGGTTAACCACCTCTACGAAAGTAGGAGCTACCATGCCATGTTAGCCCATTTTTGCTTAGTCTTGTAATATATAAAATCCTAATATACAGCTTTATGAATCTGCTATATTAGAGAGTTGCCCAACATCTCAAGATAAATAGGAGTACAGATAAATGTCTTACCTCTACTGGTAGTCATTTATAAGAAAAAGAATATGTTTTAAGGTGCAGAAACAAACCTCTAAAACAGTCGAAATTGATAAGAACACTGTGTCCTACCTGGGTCACTTTCTCTGTCACATTGTGCGTTCGATCTTTAACCTTGGGTGCAATAATGGTTTTGTCTGAAGAAGGAGGAGATGAATTCTTTTTCTCAGTTTTGACCTCTGAAAAATTCAGAGTGAGCTGTGGAATCTTGTTAATGGTGCTGTATTTGTTGAGGTTTGAATCTGATGTGGATCCCAGGAGGCTTGACTTGATATGATTAAAAGGCCCTAAAAAATAAAAAAGGAAAGTATTTGAAAGAGTAATACAAGAAGATATAGAAGAAAGAGACAGTTCTGAATACCTTGCTAATGATTCATGACCAATATGATCCTGATTTGACTATGACTAAATGCAGCTAGCTTGTACCTGGACACAGGGATTGGGTCACCTTGGGCCACATGGAATGGCATGTGAGTATCTGAGAATAAGACTGGGTTCTAGGTGTGCACTCAGAGAGCAAATGGCAGATTTAGCTGTTAATTAGTTTCTTTCATTAAAAGCTACAATAAAAGAAAAAACTATACTCTCTGTTATTGGTCAAATTCTACCTTTAAAATTTCTTATAAATTTCATTTTGTAATTTGAGGATTATTTAAGAAGGACTTACCTATGGTTAAAGTCATATTGGCCATGAAATTTCCAAATGGATTGTTTGCCCTGCTCCAATTTGTGTTACTCCCCTCTGTGTCACTGAGGAGTGACAAGCCATCTAGGCTCTTCATATGTTTCCACTACCTATATAAGATGCTCCATAGAACTTCTAAAATAGTTAAACCCAGATGAAGGAATTACAGATAAAGCTTCAGAGGGTGAAGGGCCATTTTTGTGTGAATGTGTGTACTCTAATGAAAACTCCAGGATCATATGTGGGATTTTTAGATCCTTTTTTTCCTTTCACTTATGTTTAAGTCTTGACCACTTTCTGAGAAAAAAAAAAAAAAAAAGGTGCTATAAAAACCATGCAAGCAGAATGCTCTGGCAAACATAACTTACAATAGAAGTGCCACAGCTAGGTAATAGGGCATGTCTGGGGTTGATAGTACCTAGTCACTTCTCGCAATCTTTCCTACAAAGATAACTTGGCAAGGTGGCAAGACTCCTGGTTTCCTTGTTGAGGGAGTAGATTGACCAGCTATATCTTCCTTCGGGATGAATCTGTTATCTGTTGCTTATGGAGAATCAGGAAATTCTCTGAGAAGTATCTTGTGTAATGAGCAATATTACATACACTGTTATTTAGCTCTTAAAAATTAACAACAGAATTTTATAAAAATCGTGAACTCCCTATTTTTGTGCCCCAGAAAGTGGTTAAAACATACAAATTGCATCAATAAACTTGTTAGGCAGCATAGTTGCCTTCTGTTATTTCTTTATCTGTTCAAAATGAAGTGAACCCATTTTTGGGATCAAAATGTACTTTAAGCATCAAGCAAGGTATAAACACTTTAGAATTAGAGTTAAAGATTTTGCATTTGGGACAACAATCAATCAACTCGGGTCAGATATAATACTAAGAAATCAATGCTCATCATTTTGTTCAGAGTCACTATGGGGGAAATCACACTATACTTGTTCATAAAAGTTTAGACTTGTTTATTATAAAAGTGTGAAGTAATCTTAATAAATTTTCATGTATTTAACAAATACTGTGTTTCTTGAGTTGCATTTGTGTTGACTCCCTGATTCTTATCTGTGACAATGACCAAGTCCATCTAGAAGAAAAATGTCATGAGCTCTCCAGGAATTTATTGCCTCGTATGTTCTCATTTGCATATAGAACCTAACTCTCTTTTCTATTTATACAAAGATAGAAATAAGAGTAAATAGTGGCAACAAATTCATCTAGCCTTCAGATAGTTCTCTGACAGAAACTCCATTCTTCAGGTCTTTTTGGAAGTCTCCAGCCCACATCACTAATTTATTTTATTGTAATGCATACCAGGATAGTGTTTTCCTTTCTGTAGCATTCTGTAGTTGAGTTCTAGGTTTTATATCTTAATATTTACAATTTGTAAATTATGCCAGGATTTCAGGTTTCTTAGATACTGTCTTTTCCCCAACTCTAATGTCATATTTTCACTCCTTAGTTTATTTAACTAACAAGGATACTATTAAGAGATTATAGATAACAGAGCTCAAATATATAGTTAAATTGTATTCAAAACCCGTAAGCTCATCTTTCCACTCTCTTTCTGTGTCATCCTTCTCTATGCTGCATTTTTGTAGCAAACTGTCCACAGAGTTGTTTAAAATTTGGCTAAATTCACGGATCATCGATGTCATCACAGATTCTACAATGTTAATAGAGAGAAAGACACTGTTGATCTACTTTAATTGCCCTTGTGACCAGTTCCAATAAACTCCACTGAACTGGCTACACTTATATAAGCAGGTGATTTCAACTATGGTAGTATTTCACTCTAGGGGAGATTTGTGGCAGCATTTTTTGTTGTCACAATTATGAAAGAATTTCAATGTCACAATTCTTGCCTTAAAGAATTACCTTACCTGCCTCAAGGGCATTCATGCAGGTGAAAAGCCTGTTTATTCATGAATTGAGCCTTAAAACTAACTGTTTCACATATAAACACCGCAATGTGCTTTTTACATGATTTTAATATAAATTGAAATTTCCAGAGCTACAATTTCCATGTAGAGGTAAGAATATATATTGTTTTATTCAGAACTTTGTCAGAAATCGCTCACCATTTTGGATAATTATGCCACTTAGAGCTATACTCCTTGTGGCACTTGAGTGGCCAATAGAAAATTTTAGAGTTTAGATTACAATCTGTGTTTGGATCTGTCATTTGCAAATATGTAAGATAAGAGACTTGAGTGTTCTTTATCAGTGTTGCAACCAAATATTGTTAAATTTTCAGAGAATTACCAAAATCACACTAATAAAAGTTCCTTCAAAAATATTTTATATAAATATCCTCCTATATATTTAAAATGATATGATACTATGAAAAGGAACCTATGTCTTAAAAATGAAGCACTTGTAATTATTTATTTGTCTTTGGGTTGCCTGTTGGTTTTCAGTCTCATTCTCAAAACTCCCTGCAGATCTACCACAACTTCTCTATAATGTCTCAATTGCCATTTCATTTTCCATTCCATTTTCGGTTTCTCCTTACATAACAAAGCATGTTTGCAGGGTCTTTTTTATGTATTAGAGGATGAATGTATATCCTGACATCTAGTGGGATTTCTTTCTTCTGTGTAATTCACTACTATTGCATTATATCACGGAAAGTATCATTTTGACACTACCATTAAAAGCAAGAGCTAGATCCTTTCTGAGACTACCATACTTCCTTATTTTCCCTTCAGCTTGTATTGATATATCAATCATAATTAAATTTTAGTTACTTCCCATTTTAAAAATTCATGTATAAATAAGTCTGATATAATTCTTGACTCCAATGGTGGTTTTGATTATGCTACCCATCCATACTCCTGCTGACCATTTTATCTGGTACCTGTATGGAATATTTTCTCTTGTACTTAATGCTTTTAAAACCAAATTTTCTTCATGTGTCTAATTATTGCATTATGTTTTCTAGTGCAGTTATATTTGAACACTAACATTTTGAAATAAATATTTTATTGTAAAGTGCTTTTCTTTTATTTCTCCTGTGTATTCCAGTTAGGGAATCACATTGATATTTTAGAAATAGGTTAAATTATCTCTGAGTTCAATTTCAGGATAGCAAAATGAGTATAATGAAGTATTTATTGAGACAAGGAGACATAGGATCTGATATGATTGAGAAACTGGTTGATAAAATGTCATACTCAAATTTAGCCTCAGAATTTGCAACTTCATTGCATTCACTATTTTAGCTTCTCTTATTTGCAGGTGGAAAAACCCTTTAAACTCTTACTCTCTTCCAGGTTTGTTTTTTTTTCTCTTAGTCTTAAAGAATTAATCCACATTTTCTTTTAATCTATATTTTAATTAATTCAGTAAAACTTAAAATATTACTTAAAATAACTTGTGAAAGCTACTTAGACAAGGCGTTTAAAATTTATTTCATGCTGTATAAAAAAGATAATTATGCTTCTTTCTAGTGATTTTAAAGCAGATGTTTAAATGCAGAAGACTTCTAGAGTCTTCAAGATGATCAATGTTGACTTAGGTTCCTCCAAGCCCATCAAAATGCAAATGAAAAAGATTTCAACATTTTAACTAAGGTAGGTATTAACAATATCCTTATTTCACCAATTGTAAACCTAAGCGGATAGAATATGAGGCCAGAAAAGAATAAGAATAAAGGACCAGAATACAGGGTTTCCTACCTCCTACGTCTATATTCAGAGAGGCCTTGGTTGAGGATTTAAAGGTGAAAGGCAGCCTCACTGAGAGTGATCATGAACAGATGGGATTTAGGATTCTAATGAAAGAAAGGAGAATAACCTGAAAAACAAAGTAAATAAATTTAAAGGAAATGAATGGGCAGAAATAGGGGGAAATAAGAGATTCAATAGAAAGTCATGTAAAACTCAAAAACATAGAGGAGTACTTGATGTTCTTCAGAGAAGCATTTGCAAGATGGATGACCAGGTTACATTTTTCAATATAGTAAGAGAAGGTGGAAAACAGGTGACCAAGTGGACTAAACCAACAGCTGGAGAGTGCTTTAATATATTTCAAGTGTCTGATTAAACATAAAGTAGGCCAATTTCCAGCTGCAAAGGAATACCTACATTTAGACAAGAAGCTAGAGGCTAAAGCAACAACTGGGAAGAATTTTAGATTAAAGATATTTAAAATTTGTATGATGAGGCTATAAATTATCATGAGATATGAGATGCTAAAGGAGAATATATTTTTCTTTTAGATGGTGCTAGAAACATAGCTAAGGGCATCTGATAGAGTAAAAGAAAATAATACTACTTTAAAAAATCGTTTTGGAGGGAAAAATATGATAGGAAAGAAGGAAACCAGACAGCAAAAGGTTGTTTTTAAATCATCAGGTATTGGTACAATATATCTTAGGGCACTGAGTTTATTTAGCTAAAGTTCAATAAAACCCAAATTGCTGAAGTGACTTAACATGAGAGAAGATGCAAATGCAGTGTTTAATAATTAAACTTTGTAAAAGAACACTGTCAATAAGTATAAGGCAACCAGTTTAGCACTTAGAAAGATGCATAAGAAGTAATCATCAAATTATTTTTCTTCATATTGTCTGTTCCAGTGAATGACATATTATTGCAGGAGTAAACTGTTATCATTGAAAATCAATTTGCAAATCCTCATCAGATGACAAGATACTGGGTAATGGCCAATGCATCCTATGAGAAACAAGTTGTATTAGATTAATTTATTTCATTTGTGAGCCATATAGGCTAGAGAGGAAGTAAAAGCTGTAACAAACCTGTGAAGTAGTTTTACTTCAGAGTCATAGGACAGATTCATAGACAAATTGGCAATGGAACACACCAATGTCAGAGGGAAGCAGGGTTACTTAGGATAACAAGGAGGCAGAAGCATTAAAGGGGCAAAATTGTGTTATGACTTATTTACGAAATAGAGAAAGTGAGGTAGATTTTTATTGATGACTTGTAAAGCAAAATAGACAGAAAAGCCACCAAGTTTGAGGTAAAAATTAGTATATGAGTGATGGATGTAGGATTAGGTCCTCTCACATATTAGAGAAGTTGTTAAATTATCATACATAGATATAGCAGGATGTGCAATTTATTTGAAATAACTTTTCCACTCTTTGACAATGGTTTACACTTTTAAAAAGAACTTTGAAGTGTGAGCTTAAGGAGTCAGAATGCTAAGAAAATTTATTAAAGGGAAATGAAATAGATCCTAAGAACGAAGATTAAGTGGAAATTAGTTTTAGAAAAAAGACTGAGTATCAATTTGCTGTCTTTTTACTGTGATATTGCATCATGATTAGCAGTAGTCAGCTAGTATCTTTGTCTAGTAGAGATAGATGAAGGGGAAAAAATTCATATCAGAAAGAAGGATTTAGGTTAGCTCTTTGTGTAACAGGCACTAACACAGACTTCCCGAGAAAGCTAAAGAATGGTATCCTCTGGAGATAAATGTACCACCTGTACAAGGTATTTAGCCAATACCTCACCTGACATAAATAAACCAGATGCTCTTGAAGACATTACCAACACATTCCTAAATTATTTATTTAATTCTGATAAATAAATGTTTTTTTGGTTAAATTAAATATTGAAATAATTAATTATAATTATGCATTTTGTACACAAAACAGGATGGAAACCTGCATGTTTTTAGTCTTTTATTTAGATCTGGTATAGAAGCAAAGCCAAACAAACTTAAAATGCACACTTAATGTATGGTCCTGTACCTAATTAACAAGGTTAATGGCTTTGTGAAAAATCTTAGAGGCAGACACTTAAACATTGTTAATAGTTTTCAAAACCAGAGCTTGAAAAAAGTAATGAAGGCTTTGGAGTGAAAATTTATATTAAATGTCATTACGTTTGCAAATGCTTTCTCCAATTTGGGGATAGAACTTCTTAAGTATTAATATGTGAAAACTTTCTACAATAGTTTAGAGATTTGTAATGCAAAATTCTGACTTTGACGATTCTACCGTATACTTTAAATTGTGATTGTAAAATTGATGTCAATTGGAAATGTATGTAATAAATAAAGAATATCTGTATTCAAAGACTACTCCTATTAAAAATGAGAGAGTTGAGAAAAAAGGTTGGAGAGTAAATGAATTATTTTATGACACTAAAATAAAATAGCTGTACTTTGACATATATGTGAACTAGTAGTTTGAAAGTTAAACAAAGTCCAATTCTCTATTTGTTGAGAAAAATTAGGTTCATTTATCACTACATTTAAAAATCACTAGAAAATTAATTAATGGTTACTAATTTACTGACAATTGTTAAATTCTAAAGCTAGTTGGCAAGAACTATCTGTATCCTGCTTCTTGAGGTTACGTTCTGAATTATGTCAATGCAAACCACTGCACACAGTTGACACTATTTTCTCCCTTTTAGAAATCACAGTGGACAGGCCAAAAAAAAAAAAAAAAAGAATAATGATGTAGGTGAAATCCTGCCCCACTATTTGGGTCAACCTGCATAGACCCTTTTTAAAGTGCTTACAAAATACAATTGGGTTGGGTTTGGGGGGATACTGCCATAATTTCCCTGATTTTCAAATTTCCCTAGGTTGCTGACCAAGCATTTTTGGTCCCTAGTCTATTAATTCATAACCATCATCAGTTCTGAATTATTTTAGGGAAGCAAGTGAGAAATCAATATACAAAATTGCACAGTGGTCAGTGTACCAGTGACATTTAAGAGAGAGTGGTCAAAACAGTGAATTCTAAGTAATGACGGTTACTGGTGGAGACGTGTTCATGCAACACACATGCACAAAATAAGTCACGATCACCATTTGCACACCCACAGCAGCATGCACGGCCTATGTTGAAAGACCAGGCCCCAATGGTTTTCAATTTGATGATAATAATATGGTTATTATATTTTGTGATCCTTGTATCTACTATGATACAGTAGAAAACAGCAGTGAATTTCAAATTTTTAGCCCAATCCAAATTTATCCAGACTATTTCCAGTTAAACATAACCCTCTGGGAGTTGTAGGTCATGCCAGTGATTTCAGGCTAATATAGAACACAACTAAAATGATTAAAATATAATAGAGAAAAATAGAAAACGACTATCATGCATATATAGTTTACTACTACAGTAAGCTGAAAACCATACCCCCTGCCATCCAGGAACGTGAAACTAGTTTTGAGGAAACAAAAGAGGAACAAGTGAAGTGATGCTGTCACGTAGCACTTTGCTTATTTTATTTAATCTTGCACTCAAAATTGTTGTTTTCCTGAAATAGGCTTTTGTGCCTCTGTCACATCAGAATATATTTAGCTTGAGGTTTGTGCTTTTCCAAATAATTTAAATATTTAGGAAGTATTCATTGTCAACCTAGGCTTATAGTTCTTGCAGGCAAAAGGAGCTCATAATCATTTTGGTGACGCAGCAGAGAAATAACAATGTCTCTAGCAAAATCAAGCCATGATGTCTCCACCAGGCACCCCGAATAGCTAAGGGCAGCATGAAGATGTTGCATTGAACAGGGCATACAGCAGGCAAGTTAACATGCCGAGTAAAGGGGCACGTTGAGCATCAGATGGTGAAATTTGAGTTTGTACATTACCTTTGACATTGCGACCATTGTCTGTTTTGAGCACATAAGGATAAAAAAAGAGAAATATAAAAAGAAGACTAAAATTATATTATATACACTGAATCACCTGTATAAAAACAATCAGAGAAATCAGAATATGATGGAAAATTTCTCTTTAATTGAAATTAACATTGTGTACTACTCCACCAAGTAACATGCATATACTAAAAATAGTATCTGTCATAATATACATTCTTATTTAAATATGTGAAGCATTTATCTCAATTTCAATGGATTCCAAAGTACAGATTTTATAATTATGACAGTTTAGAAATAGATTTCCCCAGATGCTGCAGTTGTGACAAAACTTTCAACCTTGTCAACAGCCAATTTTAGTGTCTCCTCAACTGTCACTGAGAATATACTCAAAGGAAGACTCCACATTTTGCATGTTAAGTAATATTTTGCATATAATTTAACCCAGTATGTTAATAAGGAAAATGTTTCTAAGATAACAGTTCCTTCCCTCCCTCCCTCCCTCTCTCCCTCCCTTTCTTTCTTTCAGGACAAGGTCTGGCTATATCTCTCTGGATGGACTTGAACTCCTAGGCTCAAGAATCCTCGTGCCTTAGCCTCCTTAGTAGCTGCGACTACAACCACACCACTCTGCCTGGCTCCACTGTGCCTGGCTGCAACTTACATTATTAAACACAATTTTATTAACTGCCCTCCTCCAAATGTTCTTCAATATATATTTTAAAAATAGCAAATATAACTCAAAGAGTCATTCTTAGACAAAAATAATTGTTAGATGTAAATGAAAGATTAGATTGTTTTAAAAAATGTTAACATATTAATGTCACAATGAATTCAGTGTAATTACTAGAATATTGAAAAATTTTATTTGTAATAAAATGGGCTCTTTTAAAATCTGAGTTAAATATTTTCAGATTTATTTTGAGATCAACAATCTAAATGTTGCATACTTGCCACTAACAAAATATGCATTACTAGCTATGAAACACACAAGCTTAAAATAAATGTCACTGTCGTATCAAAACCATTCAAATATATCCAAGATTTGAAAAATCTGTTCAGCATTTTGTTGATATCTATGCTAACACTGTGCCCATTTAAAATCTTGGAATATATCATAATAATTTCAAAGCTTACAACTGAAATAATTCTAAGAGTGTGGTATATTGAATTGCTCGTAGACATTGCATTGGACAAAGACATACAAATAAAACTGTGGCCTTAGATAACAACTCCCTTTCCACTTGGAGAGAATCACAAAAAACAAATAGAGATAGTGGAAGAGATCTTGATTACCCAGAATGAATGTGTCTATCAGAAGCTGGGTCCAAAAACCATTAGTAAAGTAACAACTGCTTGCAAGTAGTTATAAATTACAACTGTACTTATTAAACCTAAAAATTATATATAACGATTTACCAATTCCAAGAAAACTAACAAAACATTACATTATGTAGTTATTACAGCTTTGACCTTCCAAGGCAGAGTATGGCTTGTGCACTGGTCTTAGCTGAGATCTGCTTGTTATCCTTCCATGACAATGTAAGTACAGAAATTGGAGTAAATATTCAGAAACTTTTGTAGCAGTTTGGCAGAGTAATTTCATGTCTGATTAATCTAATAATAAAACAACTGGGGTTTATATTTTGTGTCTATTTTTTACATTTCATTATTCTAGTAGTACATTTTTATTGAATTCACAAATGTATTGGTCAGTGATGAATTAGAAAACAAAATTCTAGTTCTTCATCAAAGATGGTTTGAAAAGTATGGTTCTAAGGTACTTGATAATGTGGATTAAATGAGAGGATAAAGTAAAATATTATTCATTAAAGTATCTGCAAAATATTTAAAGTTCTGTGAAGATAGCCTGTACAGGATAATGTTTTTATTTATTTGAATGAGGAGACAAAAATCAGACTTTGAAATCTCGTGCATTATTTCACCTGTTAATCAGTTACATGAATTCATAAAACTAAAATCACGTCTAAAAGTTTTCCATCTTTCCTTATCAATGGCTCCATTTGTAAAATATACCAAATTACAAAGTCTTAGGAAATGTAGTTTCTTTTTTGCTAATCAGTGATTTTGTGCTAAAATTGCTCTAAAGATGAAGGATAAAATACCCTCTGAATTTATCAATCTGTAGTCACATGTCGACTATAGCATAATCTATAAGAAAGTAATACTTTTTTTGAAAACAGCTTACTTTGGGTGAGGGAGAAAAATCGAGGATGATCTAGCACCAAATGTTTATTGTACCTGTACTGAGAAATCCAAAAATATTAAATCATTCTTTCTCATAATTGTATCAGTAACTGTGCACTAAATGGAGATCATATGCATTAAAACAGTGAAGTTAAATCAAGAAATCTAATCTAAACTACTTAGCACCACTGTCCAAACACAGGCTAAGTCAGTACAATGCACTGATTACATATCAGTTTGATTTTCAAATTTATTGTTTTTGAATTTTACTATACTATTGTTATAGAAGTCAGGATCTCTCTAGGGAATCACTGAAAGGTCAACTTCTGAAAAGTCAGTATGATTGCTAAAAGTGACTACACTAACTAAACTAGCTAAAACATATGCTGGCCATTTGAATTACCATATTGAATTTACTAGTCATGTTTAGCCACAGGACTCACTGATCAAAGATCAAATTCTAGTGGTTTCATTCTGTCAGGAAATATTGAGTCTGCCATTACTAAATGGGCTAGGACCTTAGATGATTATCCAATTTGGGAATTGGCCTTGTGTTTTCTTTTTTCCTTTTGACCCTCTTTGGCCCACAGATTAAAAGGATGTGTTAATTGTTCTTGTATCTTTTTCTGAGCTATCAATTTATCTTTCTTTGAACTTTTCCCTGCCAACTCTTCCTTTCACCTCTTCTGCCTTCTCTATTTCATGGTGTCCTTTAGATAAAGATCCTCTATAGGATTTACTCTTAAGACTTCAGTTTAACTTCAGAGTATGATGGAGCAGATAACTCATTATTTTCTGATCTGCATGATTTTGAAACAGAACTCACAAGCACAGTCCTCTCAACATCACATGGTCTTCTCAATGTCACACCAATATTTATCAAGTATCTGCCATGAAGTAGACAATTGTGCTAGATACTAAGGGTGCAGAGCTCACTATGCCAGAATGCCTATCCTGGAGGAGCTCACAGCAACATAATTGTTTGTTTACATATCTGACAAGAATGACAGACATATAATACACAATAAATATAAAATGCAATTCATGCTACACTATATGTAAATATTGGTTTGTAAACTTGAGTGTGAAATGATTTAATTCTTCTGGTTTGGGAAGGGGGAAATGGGTCCCTGACGCTGAGTGGTAGTATAAGGAGGGACAAAGTGGGGAAGAGTATTCCAGGCATAACAAAGTAATGAAGCAAGAAAACACATGTTACATTTTTGGGAAAAGGCAAATTATATCCATGCAGGTGTAGAATAGAGTATGTAGTAGGGAAAAGAGTCTTGCTGGGGCTAGAAATTAGGCTGGAAAAATAAGTGTGATCAGCTGACAAAGTGCTTAACACCTCACACTAAGAATTAATGTTTTAAAGACAAAACCAGCAACAGCTTGGACAGCCAGTATCTCAAGAACCCAAATCTATGCGAATCTGAAAAGTGGGTCTGCTGTACCCATTCCGGGAACTTTGATTCTCAGACTCCCTGGGGAAAGTCAAGAGATTCAACAGACTCCTCCTATGGCAAGGTTTCATGGAGGAGCAGGAGTGAGGGAGGAAAAATATTGCATGAATTTGATTGTAGACTATGGAGACAGGCAGTCCTGAGTTTGAAGCCAGGCTCTGACACTGACTAGCTCTGTAACCTTAGTCTAGTTGTTTATTTAACATATCTAAGCCTCTATTTCCTCACTTATTAAATAGGGCTTAAAAATGATTCCTAATTTGGGTTTGTTATGAGAGTAAAATGAGACTTAATGTGTGTCAAGCACTTACATTGCCTCAGACATAGTAAGTACTTAACCAACGTTATCAATTACTGTGTTCATGATGAATTGTTTCTGCCATTGCTTTTTAAGTATTCTTAATTTCACTACTGGCTAATATAAGAATGTGAACATAAAGAGGTCAGAGAGAAATAAATTCTGATTTGCTTTTCCAGTTGATTTTGGTTGAGATCAGGACTTTCAGGATTTTTTTTCCCTTTCCATTTTTCCCCTTCTTCCTACCTACCTTGCACCCCTGTCAGCTTACAGCTTTCTGATCACTCAGTACATCACGGTTCCTATGCTGCTCCCTTTGGAAAGAGTCGGTCAATGAACTAGCCCTCTGATGGCACAAATTCTTTCTTCCAGGGCATGATCATTTGCTAAATGCAGCAAAATTAATTATGCTTGAGATGATAGTGTTCATCACCTAAGCGCATGTTATAATAAGCATTAATTAATTAACACTCCATGTGGTAGGCAGATAATGGTTATCATACTATTTCAGAAATACAGATAAAGAAGCTAGAAGAAACTAAATTACTCATTAGGGTTCAAAGAGGAAATCAGTAACAACTCTGAGTGTAGGACTCAGATTCTTAATAGCCTTTAATCACATTTCTTTCCCCAATGCATAGGGATTATTGTTGAAATTTAAAACGATATGCAAATAATCATTTATTACCCGTGAATATATGTTTCCATTTTTAAAAAAATCAAACATACCTTCGCTGGCATGTCGGTCTCTAAATATGTTCTTGGGATGGACGCTGAATCCTTCTATATCATGAACTGAAGATGCTCTCCGTATACTACATAAGCTTTCCCTTGATCTGGAATGGGACAGCTGGGAACTTGACTGCAGCATGTCAGGGTAGAGTCGGTCCCATTGTCTTTTGGGAGAGGAATGGTCAAGAGGTCCGGATATATTCACCAAGGGAGAACATTTGCTGGGCTGTATCAAAGCTTTTGTGTCATCTGCTTCAGAAGGGCTGCAGCTTTCTTTTGTAGGAGACTTAAAGTGCTTCATGGCTACCGAATCATCGCTGTGTTTAGATGAATCGATGACTACCACATCGGGGTCTTCTTGTGGTAAGGACTGCTTTCTGTAAGTGAGAACTCGCAGACCAGGGAACTTGAACCCGAAAAATTTCCCTATAAATGGAGACAGGAGAGAGCATTATTATAAGGTAAATGATATATCTTGTAACAAAAACAAACATTGTTGACTCATTTAAATACCATATAAAAATAATTATGAATCAATGGTTATAGTTGGAATAAGGGATATTGTAGAAAACTTCTCTGAGACCAATGTGAAGCATCATATAAGTAATAAGAAAACAGCAAATAATTTTATCATGTTTCTGATGATTAGATCCACATCAGCGACATAAAATTATTTGGATGACAGGAGACTTTTAGTTTTAATAAAATAAAAACATGCATCCACTATACATCCACTTTTCTAGGGAAATTGAAGGATGAACAGAGTTTTAAGGAAATATGATCTAGGGCATCGTAAGTCCAGGGATAGACACAGGAGTGAGTACAGCCTATGTACATGTGTGGGTGATGGAGGGCTAATGTGTTGGAGCAGGCAGGAAGGAAGTGAGGTGAGGTAAAGAATAGACCTTGTATATTTAGAAGATTTGTACTGAATAATATTGTGAGTCAAGTTTGGGTGGAAAAAGTGGGGTCAACTGTGTATGAGAGGTTTATCATTCCATCTGGAATTCTTAAGGACTTTTGGTTTTAAAGAGAAATGCACCATACTGGTAAAGATTTCTTTTTCCTGTTCTGTTTTCTCTGTTTTTGGCTCCAAAATTGGATAGTATGGCATATAATGTTATGTCTGTCTTGGAGTGGTTGATTCACAGAAGGACAACTAAATATAAACTTTGAAGAGCAGATGTTAAAAATTAAAATATTAACTATAAATATAACATTAAAATATTAAACTTTAATTGTTAGGTATATAAACTCACTAGTAGTAAAAACTGCAAAGTAAAACAAGAGGATATAATTTTTCTAGTCTTCAATTTTGCAGTAAATGAAAGAAAGCATAACATCTAGTGCTGGCAAAGAATGCTGGGGAGCATTCTGACATTTTGGTGGTGGGATTGCAGATTACTACAAACTCTTTGGAAAGTCTTCAGACAATATCTATTAAAATGAAAAAACATACACTTTTATTTTGACTCAGTTATCCACATGTGGGATATTGCAAAGGCATAAAAATGAGAAACAATTGGATTATCCATTAGAAGGAGAATTACTGAATGAAGTATGGCATTTTTATTATTAGGAATCCAATGATATTCTTTAAAAGGTTGCTCAAATATAATGTTAAGTAAAAAAAAGCAAGTTTAAATTCCACGTGTTCACATAATTTTCATCAAAATAAAACAACAGCTTATATTTGTTCATATATTTGTATTGAAAGTTTCAAACTTTTAATGTTGACTAGCTCAGTGGGTGGGTTTGGAAGTAGGGAGGTATAGTGTATTGCATTCTTCTTTATATATCTTTTTTTATGTCAAGCATGCATTCGTTTATAAACTAAAAAAACTAATAAAGTAAAACTTTCACTCCTCAAATAACATAAAAACAGAGGACAAAGTATCCAAACAATAATCTGTCATTTTTATTGTCCCCACAGTAGTCTAGGTCCACATTACCCATGGCTTTACAATTACTGACCTTAAGTCAGTCAACTTAAATCTTTGAGTTGCAATATTAACTACCTTCTTATATTATTTAAATGTCGTAGACACCATTATCTTTAATAGATTTACTATGAACTTTTCCTCAATGCATTGAAGATGCTTCTAAAATATGGAAGAACACTCTCAAAACTCACAAACATTTCTCCATGTTGAGTATACTCTTCCAGTGGATGGTTTTTTTCTATATCCACATATTCAATTCTGTCTTCAGTCCAATGACTCCTAAATATATATCTCCAGCCCAGACCTCTCCTCTGCGTTCCAAAACTGTATATCTAATAGACTCATCAACATCTCCACTTGAAAGACACCTTACAATCTTATAACAAGTCCAGTTTCATAATCTGACCCTTCAAGCCCAGGCTTTTGTTTTTCTTCTTCTTTTTTTTTTTGTGAATGGAATCCATCCAGTCATAGAAACCTGAGATTTAAGGACCATTCTAGATACTGTTCTCTCTCTCCCACTCATCCCCAATATTCCATTAATATCAATCCCTTAATTGTGTTCATTTCGCCTCCTGAACGTCTATTTTCATTTCTCTCATCTTCATTGCTCCTACATCTTTCCAAGATACTATACTGGTTCACATGATTTCCTGCAAAAGAATCCCAATCACTCTTCACATTTGTACCTTTATTGTCCACCCTTAAAACAAATAATTTTTATCTTTAAATAATAAAAAAAAATTATCTTTTAAAAAATTCAGAGGATGGGCACATTGGTTTATGCCTGTAATGCCAGCACTTTGTGAAGAAAAGGCATAATGCTCTCTAGAGGTCAGCCGTTTGAGACAAATCTGGGGAACAGAGCAAGACTCCCCATCTCTACAAAAAAAAAAATAGCTAGGTATGGTGGTATATGCCTGTAGTCCTAGCCACTCGGGAGGCTGTGATGGGAGGACAGATTGAGCCTATGAGTTTGAGGCTACAGTGAGCTATGATTGAGCACTGCATCCCAGCCTAAGTGATAGAGAGAGACCCTATCTCTAAAGAAAGAAAAATTAATATATGATTATGTAAACTATTGCACAATTCCACTCTTCCCCTGTCCTCTCCTGCTACCAATAACTTTCTCTTTGGGGACGGAAGACAAAACTATCTCCATCTTGCAGCTTCTTACTCTCTAGAACCCAGTCATACGGAATTTTAATTCCCCTGGAGGCCTCTGCTTCTTTCAGATTCATGGCTTCTTTCTGTTTGATCCTTTTTACTTCACCTACTGAGCTCATCCTTTAGATTTCAGCACCAAAGTGATTTCATGGGGAAGCTTTTCCTTCCTTCTGAACAGGTTACCACCCCTTTCATAGCTTTCACCACAGTTAATAACTATGCACTTGTTGATTTTCTGTTTAAAATTTTTTTCCATGACTGGACCATAGGCCTCAGAAGGGCAGGACCCCAGGCTATTTTCCTCACCATTGAGTCCCAGCTCTTACCGAATGACTTGGCATGGTAAATGAATTCTCACAAACAGATTCTAAACTGAACTCAGAATGTGCTCAATTTTGACTGTAGGAAAACTAGACTATTTAATTGCTCTGGTCACTATCATTAGAGAATTTTAACCTCCTGGAATTGTACTGACTGACATTTAACAAAAAATATTGATTGAGTAGAACTCAACAGTTCATGGAAAAGGGCGAACTCTGTACCATGTCCTCTCTATTTGATTTAACTCATCTATGAAGTTTATGTAAAATACCTGTTACAGAAAATTTGAGAATTTAAGAAGGCCAATTTATTATTATAAGCTTTCATTTGTGGTCTAGCAGTTAATAATGATACAAATCATTGAAATAGAATTAAACATTTTTATTATTAATTATTATGGACATATAGTTGTACACATTTATGAAGTACACATGATATTTTGATACAAGAATACATTGTGTAATGATCAAATCAGTGTAATTGGGATATCCATCATCTCAAGCATGTATCATTTTTCATGTCAGAAACATTCCACTTCTACTCTTTTAGTTATTTTGAAATATTTGATAAATTATTGTTAACTATTGTTGCTCTAAAGTGCTACCAAACACCAGATCTAATTCCTTCTATCTAACTGTATTTTGGTGCCCATTACTTATCCCCACTTTATCCACCACACCCTACCCTAGTACCCTTCCTATCCTCTGGTAACCATCATTCTACTACTTATCTCTGTGGTAGAAGACATGACAATATACAGACAAACCACAAGTACAATCAACATTAAACTCTGGATTAATAAGACAAAAACAAGAGTAACCAATCTGCGCAAATAAGATTAAGTAACAGTTCATCGTGATAACTGTTTTGCAAGCATTCTTACATATCTCTACTAATAACTTTTATATTCTCAAGTAAATTGCCAAGTTGAAAATCAGTGAACTGCATCCAAGTCATTTGATTAGTCTTTAATGCACATGAAATTGAGTTTTAAAGCAGTTTACAAATCAATTCTGCAAGCTTATTACAATGCATTGTAAGTCAATGACTACTTTTGTTAATTTTTCATCATTTACTTCACACTCCCCCTTTAAAAAAACAATTCACTGGCTTTCTTAAATTAATGACCACATAGGCATTTAGTTCATTCCTATAGTTTAGTCATATCCAGTGTGGTACAGATGGGCTTTTCTGCATCACTAGGTTAATAGGACCATGTTATATTGCATTACAGATTTAGTTGTCTAACTGTAGTTCATGCGGAAAGAATGCACATTGAGAATTTTGCTCAATGCTAGCACTTTCAGGCATGAAATATAAAACATAGATGAGTGTAATCCTGTTATGGATCTTAACACTGAAAAACATCCGTGCAAGTTAAGTCTTCAGATTTTATTATATTTGATTTCTAATTTGAATAATTAAAATAGATACTACTTAACCTATTTACTATAATGCTCAATAAATGTGAAATAAGAGAAACAGAAAAAGGTTTTGCACACATTTTTACACATTTCCAGAAAGAATTACAAGTACTGGTTAATGACTTACATGATTATAATTTTGTTTAAACACATCCTTTTCATCTAAGAAGGCATACAGTTGTTAATATACATGAATATAATTATAGTAGTTACAATTAACTACTAGTATAATGTCTTTCTCAGGACATGTCATTTTTGTGAAGATGCTGAATATAAATTTGGAGGGCGCATCTTCATCAATCCTGTCATATATAACTAACAACTTTGTAGTTCTCAACCAAGAAAACATAGATATTCCCATCATCTTTCTCTGTGAAAAGTCTATAATTATAACTTTAATGTACACATGCAAAAATGTTAAATATTTTGCCAAATTCATACAGAAAATTCATGTCAGGTTAGCATAAAACAGCAGTTTCCCTGATTTAATTTTAGTTTTACCCAAGGTTTGGTGTTTTCTTGGGTCATAAATAGCCACACGAGAATCTAACGAAAATCCTGATTTCTCTTT